GTATCTAGGAGAAACGAGCGCGTCTACCCTCCTCACTGCTAACAGTGAGTGAGTGATGCCGCTTTTGTGAAATATTCATGAAGGGTTGTGATCAATCTTTCACATCGAGTTTATTCATACATACCTTCGTAGAAACTATTAGTCGACCAAAGTTTAGTGTTTTTTTTTTGTTATTAATTTTAGTGCAACAGTCAAACGTCGTTGAAAAGCTTGAATGTACATTTTACTTATTGTCAATTGTTTCCTATTTCATGATAGATATTTTAACATTAACATTCGAGGCGAGGCGAGGCGAGGCGAGGCGAGGCGAGGCGAGGCGAGGGCACCGGGACGCTTTGCGAAGCCAACCAGCCGCGAACCCGAGCGCATCTTTTGTTTCAAAATTATACAAGTAGACAATTCACAGTCATTTTTATTTATAATAGCAGTAACACGTCGGCCTCCGTGTCGGTTACAGCCACAGGCACTGCTTCTATTATTTTCAAAAATTAAAAAAATAATCAAACTACTCGTCATCTATCCATAGATTTAATGACAAACATCGAGACAGGTGAAACAAAATAAAAGTTTATATATTTTTTTTATTTTCGTACTACCTACTGTAACTGATACTGCTATTAATGTAAATGAAGCTCTTTTACATCTTGATTAAATTAAAATAACTCGCGTATTAACTTTGTATTTAAACTTCAAATATTATATTATTGTGTTGTAGTATTGTTTTCATAAACAAAATAATCAAAAAAAACAATCGCTTTTCCCAACAATTGGGATCTGCTGCGAGTAACATTTGCCTCCCTCCCCCCCCTCCTCCCCGCCTCCGCCCCGCATCTCAGCGATTCAATCAACAGATCGCATGCAATTTGTCACGATTTCAAAAGGAAACTTTGAGCAAACAGCATCTAGTTAAAACTTCTCGTATTCCGCGCCCCAAACCAGACCCCGCCCCTCCCAGCCGCTTGCCATCGTAAGCGATTACACCTTACTTAGTATGTTATGGTTACATTATACCCCAGATACCCAGCACCCCCACCACCCCCACCCCC